CTGGCGCCGCACACGCTGCTGCACCACGTGCGCTACGTGCGCCGCAACGACAAGGACAACCCCATATGTGTGAGAGAGATAGCATCATACACACTGCCTGTATGCAACAGAGATAGCATGATATTCACAGTGCGTCTATGAAAGTCTATGTATGAGAAAGCATGATATCAACAGCGTATACGTAAGATAGATAGCATGATATGCACAGTGCGTCTTTGAAATCTTAACATTTGCCTATGCCTAAAAGAGAAGGCATGATATACGCAGTGCGCTATGAAAATATCGAATTTCTGTGTGTAAAAGAGATAGTACGATATACACAGTGCGTTATGAAGGTAATGAATGATTATTTCCCCAACAGCTGCTATAATGTGACGTTAGCAATCATCTATTACACATAACTTTTTTAATATAATAAAGTGCGAACGAGCAAACGACCAACTGATTTCGCTGATATATCGAAGTGATTCGACCATAGATATTATAAATGCAACACGAATCTTTAATCGACAGAGACACTAAAAAAGGATATTACCCCTTCCCGTTGTTAAAATTACAAAAAAATAATTTATTTGTTTACTTTCTCTTTAGAAATTCTTCGAGAGCCGTCAGGTGGAGGCGGTGCAGCATCAGCTGCTGGCGTACAACGCGCGCCTCACGCTGTACGAGCAGCCGGAGTACGAGATGCCGAGGATCTGGCTGCGGCACCTCGCCAAGACCAGCAAACGATTTAGAGTAACATTGCTTTGCTTGGAACTTAAACTTACTTCAGAGTATAATGGACGTTCAGATTCAATAATGCTTAAGTGATTTTTTTATATCATAAGGTGGCATATGAGCAAGCGGCCACCTGAATCTGCAAAAATGGCAAAATGTCTGCCTATAGACATACCCTTAATCGATGAAAGAGACGCACATAAAGAGGATGTTTCCCCTTTCTATGCGTCTCCTCCACCGTCAAATACATTCCTTTCTCATCCTTTTCCTATAAGTAATAAGGTAGGAAGGCATAGAGTCTAAAGTTGGGCCTTCGGTTTTCAATAAATTAACATAGCAATTAGAAATCTAACAGTAACATGTATTAAATGTTTCTTTTAATGTTTTCTTTTCATATTTTATATACTTTTATAATATATGAGAATATTCCTGTACACAAACAATAGTTATTAATAATACAGAAAATACGAAATAATATAAATGTTACCTGTTTAATAATTTATATTATTAGTATAAAGAAAAAAGATTTGTATTTTTGTACGTATTGAAATAACTCAAAAACTACTAAGCCGATTTCAAAAATTCTTACACCAACTAAAAGCTGTCTTATCAGCATTTTTTTTAATTTCACACGGACAAAGTCGCGAGCACCAGCTAGTAAATATATAATTAAATAGATAATGCGTGTCGTTGGCGATATATCAAAAATCACAAGAAATCTTAAAAAGAAATGATTTCTGAATATTGTAATTTGAACTCAAATTCCTTTAAAAATTGATTTATTAATTATATATATTTTTCAGGACCATCTGTACGGTCGTAATAAAGTATCCGCGGTAATACCAAGAGGAGTTGAGATAGCGCTCGGGAAACAAGTAACGCCACAAACAAAGAAACCATTACCTAACGATTTCTTAAAAACGAAGAAGAAACCAATCAGATACATAACCCCTGAGACTACAGAACAAAGTGATACGCAAATTATTTATATAGAAAAAACAAATACCTCTGATGTACGGAACACTGGAACTATAACAGTTAATTCTGTCTCGCAACCGATTTGCAGCACATCCGAAATACAAAATATAATTAATAAAACAAACGAACAAAGCAAAGAAAACGAAAAAATCAATGAAAAACAAATTATTACACAAAAAATACATTGCAGTTGTTGTGTTTTATTACGAAAAATATGCAAGCAAAGACAAACGTTAATCACAGAGTATATAAAATCAAAAAATAATAAAGCAAATAAATGTCCTTGCAGAAGTAAACAACGACAAAGAATAACAAACAAATTGAGGATGTTATTAAGATTTTTCAAACATCGTTCAATGTATGTACATAAAGATATGTCACAGCAATTATCTCAATGTATGGATAAAAATGGTTTTAATACAAATGTAAAAGATAATATTTTTGAAATAGAAGATATTCCAGATCCTAATGATTTAGGTAATACACTATCTATCTTTTCAAAAATATACTAAAAAAATCTTTAGTTTTATTGATGTTTTACCTAATATTTATAACTAAGAGTACAATGGACTTTTACATGCATTCACATTTTTCCCTTTTAATCGCCTCCTAATTGTCGTAGCGTGATATTAAATAGTCTATAACCTTCCTTAATAATTAACCTAACCAAAACAAAAAGATTTGATTATACTATATTTTTAATTCCTGAGAATAAGGCTTACAAACAAACCAATTATTTATATACACAAAAGTACATGCCCTTATTTCTTTTTTCAGCATTTGCAACGACATTACAAATGAAAATGTTGATCAGATTATCATTAACAAGGAATCCGTTGATAAAGAAAAACGCTTATATGAATTTATCTAAATTCGATCCTAAAACGGACGATCCCGCGAAATTAGCTAATGTGTTGGAAAAGATTTTCGATGTGGAACTCGTGGATATATTCAAAGAATTCCTGCGATGTCTGACTCCGGAGCAGGCGGAGAAAATAAATAGATTTAAAGATTATTTCACACAAGCTTGTGCTCCGGATCTCGTTAAAAGGATATCGGTAAAGTATATTCTTTTTATTTAACTACCTTTCGCCCACGACTCCGTCTGCACAAAAAGTAAGTAGCCTACATTTTCTTCCAAACTACTCTACATCTATACCAAATTTCATCCAGATTCGTTCAGCCTTTTAAGCTACAAACTCTAACAAAATTCATCCTTTCATTCATCCAAACTTACGAATCTGTATTATAATAAAGCGTAAACACACACTTTATCAAACCAAAAACACTAACGAATGTCGAAATGTAGTTGGGTTAACTATAAAACAGTCCTTTAACCATTGACTAAATCTAATTAATATTTTAGGAAGAAGTAACAGATAAGAATAAGAGACATGCATTACTATCTCGCTTAATTCTGTCGTTTACTGATAATAAGGCGTCCTCGTGTGAAATCTGCACCGATCTGTTGACACATATGCAAGGACATGCCCAACTCGCTACGTATACCTTCAATCTTTTCCCACATAAAAGGTAAGCAGGTACACATGTGTGATAACCGTTTTGAAATCGCTATTTTAATGTAACTTTATAGCTTTTTAACCGACTTCAAAGCAGTTCGTGATTGGTTTTTATGTATGTAAAACGATTACGCACCAATTTATGATATGGAATAACTGCATTTAGTCCAACTTTTAAAAAGAAAAACTATGTTGTAGTTTTTGAGTTTTTCTTCAAAAAAGTACCAAAGGTAGGAAATATTTGTCTTGACATATAGTTTAGTTTTTTGTGAAAGTAAAATTTGTATAATCATTGTTAATATCTACTTTTTGAATTATTGATTATTTTTTTTTAACTTTTACAGTAAACGTGAATCTGTACCATTTACCACGTGCAGTAACAACGATGTGCTTGACGAGACCAGTTTAAACCAAAAAGATGGTAGTGATATTGAACCACTTAAAGTAACTACCCGCACGGAATCTGAACCAATACACACTTCCACTAGTATGGTACCTGAGGTAGTGGAATCTGAAATTACCCGCACGGAATCACCAATACTAACTTCCACTAATACAGCGCTGAAGCCAGTAGAATCTACAACTACCTGCATGGAATCATCAATACAAAATTTCACTTGTCAAGAACCCGAGCTAGTACAATCTTTAACTACTCGCACAGCATCACCAATACAAAATTCCACTTGTAAGGAACCCGAGACAGTAGAAACTGTAATTACCCGCACGGAATCTGAACCAGTAACCACCTGCAGCATGAGCAAAGCTGACACGCCATCTATTGGACAAGACGAACAAACTAACGCTCAACGCCGAGATTCAGAGCAAGAGGTCAGATTGACCATATGCGAACAAACGGAAACTATGGACTGTGATGATCAACCCTCAAGGTTTGTACATTAGTATTGAAAAAGAAAACATTAGACCTTCTTAGACCAGTAATATAGCCAGAGCAATAAATAAAAAATATATTTATTTAATATGTTTGTCTTAAAATTTGTATTTTAACTATTTTTTTTCTTTGATTATAATAAATCCGCAGCCCTGTTGATGATACCAATGATAAATATGTAAATATCAATGGAATAGAAAAGCAACAGTCAGAGAGAGAAATTTATGAGGAAAAATACATTCCAATTGAAGCATATACAGAAGAGGTTAGTAGTATATACCATAAATTGAAAAAATCACAAATGTTAATGTGAAATATACAATCTATAAAAAATGTTTTGTTTATTTAATTGACATAAATTTTGTATATTTTTTTTTGTTTCACAGGATATTTCAGATGGGAACAAACTGAATGCAAGTGACATTAAGATTGAACTGATCATGTCTGATGATGAAACGATAAAGTCAGAGCCCCCCGAGTGGCAGAGGTCCGAAGATAGATTAATTCTGGAAGTGCTAAAGCAATCTTTTACCCGCGAGGAGCGCAAAAATAAAACTATAATAGATATTGTTGAAGAAATGGACGTTTTACAAATAATAACAGACAGTTTACCTCATAAGTCTATTAAAGATGTTACAGATCGTGTAATGTATTTATTAGATTTGTTAGTTATAAGTGAAAACTAATTGCTTTTTATATTTATTTATTGAAATAAACTCATTTTAAACAAAACTGTTCTTTGTGTTTAAAATCTGGTTCAATAAATCCCAAAAACGAATTATAGGGTTAGTCAGACCATCAGAAATGCGTTTCTCAAGATTTATTGGTTTATACTCTATACTTTGGCCTAAGGAATGACTCCTTGGGTTACATTTCTATCAGTCTTGTTTATCAAGCCATAACTAATTTCTATACAAACTTTACCATCCACCATATTTTAAAACCTATGAAAACATAATCGTTTTAATATCCACATAAATAGAGACTAAAACATCTCTACTATTATACAATTTGATAAAAAAGCACTTACAACTTGAATTAGTAACCAAAATTCAAGATTTTAAAAGCTATCTTTAACAAAAGTGATAAGAAACTAAAATGTTTATGTTTTGTTTTTTCATTTGTGGGCCGTAACTCCCCCTGAACCGAAACTGTACAATCCACTTTCTCTATTGTGTAAGTTTTAACATTGACTATGTTATGTATAGATGTACATGATTCTTTTGGCACCCAGAAATGAGAAGTGACATTTAATGTCAGGGTAATAGTGACATAGTTTGTCAGTTCACTTCGCGTCATTACTTTACGCATTTTGTGTGGCTTTTAATTTTATTCCATGAAATAAAGTGTTGAAAGCGTTTAAGAGTAGTGTAAGAGGGTTTTTCTAAGTGGGAGATATTTTTATCGCTGAGAAGAAGTAGGGGGGACCAGTAATTACATTTAAAAATGTGAATCATCTTGTGTCTGTTGCAATCAGAATTTGTTACCATTTGTTAATCATGAAATTCCCTAACTCTCAAGGCGACGCAATTTTTTAGATTTGTAATTTAAAAAAAAAATTATATTCGTGCGTAGGTATATTTACAAACGCATAATTGTTTTATATTCAGCAATAATCACAATATTTTTATGAAAATAAGATAATTAGAATCACAAAGAGTATTTTTTCCTAATGTTACATATTTCGAAACAAATGACTTCCTTTCAAATGTAAACGGACGGAATTATTTTTTATTCGAAGAAAAGTGAAATCGATTCTGTTATAGACTTCGAAATTCAAAAATTTTATACAGAAAAACTAAGAACACTCAAACGATTCTTTTTTCTCTCAATAATTCTCAGACGAGAAAATTTGATCCTTCTAAGTCTAACACTTTCATTTTTAATTGCGAGAAAAAGAAAATTGACTCGAAAATTTTCGATTTAGAAATTTCAGATATTTTTTACAGAAAAAGTAAGAATTATCAAACGTTATTTCTTTCCTCTCAATTTTTCTCAACGAGTCTCTAGTGATTTGCACAAGAAAAATTAAAAAATAATGAAGTGAGGGGGCCAACTTCGCGCTAAAAATTGAAATTGCATTTACGGAGAAAGTAGGAACTCTCAAACGATTTTTAAATAATTTGTATAAAAAGTGAAGAAGAAAAAGGTGGTAAGGGGGGCAAACTCACAGAGGTCAAACTTCGCTCCATGTAGGTTCCATTCGGTTTTCGAACTCGAGTTAGAGAGAATTCAATTCGAGTATATTCGAGTTACGCCCAACTCAAGTTGACTCGAGTTACATCACTAGTTGACAATTTGACAGGCTTACATCGACATCGATCGATTTATTCGTCCCTCAATTTGCCATTTTCATATAAGCTTTGCCTGAATTTTATCAGCGGGTAGACAGATAAATATCTTTACGATGACGAAAATAGATTATACTGGTTTGGCTGAAGAGGCTGACAAGGATTACGATGAGGGCGTCGATGGAATCATTGATCCTTATTCAGAAGATAACCATGATTTTGCGGTAATGACCACTTTACAACTTATAAGTTGTATAAAGTTCTTTTTTCAATATTTAATCAATTTACAAATATTTTCTTCTAGAAATTGCTGCTAGAGATGTGTAAAGTTTTTGACGATGGCAGCACTGAGATGGGACTTGAGTTTATGAAGTTACTAAAACAATTCAGCAGCAGCAATTCTTTGATAATGGAATCTGGTAATGGGGCAACAAAACTGGCTGAACAAGAGGGTGATAATGAACTCAAATGTGAACATATTGTAAAGAGTATGGACTAAATAGTGAGTATCTTTATGTCTATTCTATTCTATTTCTTGTTTATGGCTCTCCCTCAGCAGATTGGTCTTTATGTCTATGATTTTATCCACACAAAAAATTGCTTAGTATACATAACATACATAATACTTTTTATTTACTAATGTTTAGTAACAGTGACAGTAAAAGTAATATCTCTAGAAATGTTACAGTAAAAAATGTAAAGTTTATTTAACCTTAAGAGTAAAAAAAATAGTAATGGATTTGTTATGTTTATTGTTTCAGACATTGGAATTGCCACTGTAATGCAGATGTTCATATTTGCAAACATCATCAAGTAGTTATTTTATTTTATTTTAACCTGTACCAAAAAGATCTCCAATGCTTGTGATAATTTATTTGCAAAATATATTTAGTGAAAACAATATGTTTCTTTTAATACAATAAAAATATATTAAACTGCACATATTAATTTTAAATATTAAAAAACCTTAAGCATTTTTTTACCTCCTAAAAGCTTTTCATAAATAACAGTAAGCAATAAATAGGATGCAAGAAGCAAATTTTGAAACTATCCGTGATTAAGAATTTAAAAAAGAGACAATATTCATTCTTTAGTAAAAAATTTAGTTTAAAAAATGAATGTTCTACAAATAATAACGGACAGTTTACCTCATAAGTCTATTAAAGATGTTACAGATCGTGTAATGTATTTATTAGATTTGTTAGTTATAAGTGAAAACTAATTGCTTTTTATATTTATCTATTAAAATAAATTCATCTTTAAACAAAACTGTTCTTTGTGTTTAAAATCTGGTTCAATAAATCCCAAAAATGAATTATAGGGTTAGTCTGACCATCAGAAATGCGTTTCTCAAGGTTTATTGGTTTATACTTTATACTATGGCCTAAGAAATGACTCCTTGGGTTATTTTTCTATTAGTCTTGTTTATCAAGCCATAACTATATTTCTATACAAACTTTACCATCCACCATATTTTAAACCTACGAAAACATAACCGTTTTAATCTTACTAATCTTACTTCTTACTAATATTATAAATGCGAAAGTTTAGATAGATGGATGGATAGATGGATGGATGGCTGGATGGATGTTTGTTAGCGTTTGTAGCCTAAACGACTAAACGTATCTCCATGAAATTTGGCACAGGTTTAGAGCATAGTCTGGAAGAACACATAGGCTACTTTTTATCCCAGGAGTAGTTACGGTTCCCGTGGGAATTATTAATTTAGTTTTTTAATGTTTACTCGATTATTCTGCAACGGTTCAACATGTCTTATTGAAATTTGGCACAGACATAAAACAAAGTCTGGAGTACACATGGGATAAGCTTCATCCCCGAGAAATGTCCGGTTCCCGAGGGAT